ATTTATATAATATACATATATTATATGTATAAATATATTTGTGTACGTGTGTATAATATTATGTTACGCTGTAGTCGTTGCTGTACACGATTTGAACGTTTAYGTTGAATGTAACTATAATATTATATACCTAACCTAACCTAACCTTTTACGTGAACCGTTATTTTAATCATCATTGAGATATAGCTCTGTATATTATAAGGTATATGTATACGTATTATGTACCTGAAACCGAAAAATTGTGTTCAGCAATTTAGTTAATTTGAAATCAAGTCATGTACTCGCTTTCGGCWTGAAAATATTATTATTTCAGTATTAGTATAAGCAGCTGACGTAGAAACTCATTTAAGTGGAAAATTTAAAAACTAATTGTATATTATGCCATTATCTAAAATTAAATACCCACTGTTATAATATTATAGATAATGATATTAATATTATACCGCTCAGACAAAGTAATAATAATAATAATWATTATTATTATTAAATGATAATCAGGTAATAATTATCATTTGATAAACGCACATTACAAAATCGAATATAATAATAATTTTTGTTCATAATATAGAGGATGTTTTTGAATTTGATAGACTACGCCTGAAAACCAAAAGTATTCCGGTACTGGACTCGCGTACATAATAAAAATTGATTTCTTTATATTGTGAACGGATGCGCTATAATGCAAGAATAAAAAAGAATGTAGATTCCCCGATGTAAGTACCTTTATTTGATAATATTTTACGCATTATAATAAACATATTCTTAATACGATTATTGTGCAGAGGTGTATTTTTATTTTCCATGTTTATTGGACAACATAATAATATAGATTAAATTATTGTCATGTACAAAACATGTATATACTCGTATTTACATTCGATTATGTCTGTATATACGGACTTTTTTATTTTATTTTTATACGCTTGACAGTCTTGTTTAATCTGTAAAAATATGGTGTGCACGTTGTACATATAAAACGAGGATGTTGTTATAAATAAATTGAATAGGTGTATTTATAGTGGCGCAATGTAAATTATGGTCCATCGCATTAACTAGATTGGTCTCAAACCGAAAGAAGTTCTCAACGATTTTTACCTTACCGTAATCATCATTTCTGGAGCGCACGTGTTAATAAAAAGGCATTATTGTCGTTTAAAGGTTAACATTCGAGTGTAGTACCTGTTTATTACAACTATATACATATATAATATGTACAAATGATATTTAACATTTTAAACCATCAAAACTGTTTTATATGGGTATAGGCTTATAATATTATATTCATAATATTACGGTATGTGGAATGGAGGTATATAAAATAAATTTACCATTTAGTAGTAGGTATACGCGTCATGATAATATATAGAACGAAACCATATACCTACCTACTGCAGACGCATGCGGTACATTATATTGGTCTAAAACAGGTGCGTGGGTCAC